AAAAAATATGTATTAGCATGCATTTTAAATTTTAATAACCAGTTTATTAAAGTCAAGAGAACTATGCCAATATTTCAAAAATACCAAAAAAATCATTTTATTTTCTTTTAATATATGGGGATTACGAACTTATACATAAGACGTATTCCTCATATTAAATAAAAGGTAGTTCTTTTTTTATTGATGTTAGAACGGTTAGGATTTACCCGATAAAATAATAATCTACTTACCAAAAAGAACTTTTCTTAAACCATAGTCAAACCAACAATTAGAAAATATGACAATACCTTAGTTTTTTATCACGCAATTAAATAATGCATCTTATATTAAGTATGACATATTTGGGGTTCTAATACCTTCTCTTTATGCAATCAATGCTTATGCCTGATCTTTGAGATCAATTAGGATTCCTAATAACCAAAATATTAGGTAGTGACTCACATTCTCTCTTTACACAAATAAAAGACAAGAATCCTTGTCTTCCCTATTTTCTTGATTATTCAAACCAAGAGTGGACTCATTCATTGTGACACTACACACTTATGACAATGCATGCTAGATATTGGATATAAAGTAATGATAGCATAAGGAGACACCTTAAGGAAAAGTTATAGTCATTATATGCACCATGGTAAATTTACTATCTAGTAAAAACATGTCTCTCATTGCTCAATGATTGTCCTCTAAAGCTCGATATAAGATCTATAAGATATATGAAAGCATAAATCATGCTCGTGTTAGATTGACGTACTAACCACATTCAAGTTGATAATAAGATAGGGCTTGGTAGTTTCATAAGTCTTATTCAGGTCAATAGCCATTGGAGTGCAGTTACTCCCTCGCTTAACCTAAAGTAAAGATGTGTGATCTCAAATGTTGTTATATGAAGACATGAATATATCCAAAATACAAATGAAAAAATAAATTATGAATGTTAGATGAGAAATAACATGCAAATCGAAGCAAATTATAAAACACACATAATAAACACATTAATGATAAAAGACTTTAATTATCAAAACATATATAGTTTTGTAATTGAAATATTAACTCTTGCTACTTCGAGCTAGATAGAACTAACTCGATAACCAAGTGGCCAAAAAAACATGTAAAAATGAAAATTGTTGTCACAAGGAACATATTGCTAAACTACATGTCAAAACGAGTAAAATTGAAAAAAGAAAGTCATGATCTAGTTTTATAGTAACTAGAAACTCAAAAGGAATCTTTTAGATATTTTAAGTAAAGAGATAGTTATATAACATAAAAGATAATAATCACCATTTACATTTCAATAGAGCTTGATTGTGGCCAATTGTTTCATCTTTTTATATGACCATTTATAATGTTTATGTGAGCAAGATTAGTGATCTCTTTTTTTAAAATGATAATCTCTTTTTATTGGTTAATCTCTAGCGGGGTTTTCTCCTCGTTATCCATCTATATGTTTTTGAGACTAGTGTTGTAGATCTTAAAAAGAAGCTAGATTTTCGAGGAAACCTATATTTCACCTGTAAATTGAGTTTAGCATATACACATAGAACATTTAATGATGTATGCTAGATATTGGATATGAAGTTGTGGTAGTATAGGGAGACATCCTAAGGGAAAGTTTTAGCCATTACATATACTGTGTAAATTTACTATCTAGTAAAAAAAGGTCTCTCATTGCTCAGTGATTATCTTTTAAAGCTCGATATAAAATCTATAAGATATGTAAAAGCATAGATCATGCTCATGTCAAATTGACATATGTGAAAGCATAGACCATGCTCATATTAGATTGGCATAGAAATCACATTCAAGTTGATAATAAGACATGAGTTGGTGGTTTGACGAGTCTACCTAAGTTGATAGTCATTAGGATACACTTACTTCCTCACTTAACCTAAAGTAAAGATATGTGATCTCAAATAGTATTGTATGAAGACATGAATTTATATTCAATAAATAAATAACAAAATAAAGTGGGAATGTTAGGATGAGAAGACAAATCAAAGCAAATTATACAACACATTTTAATTATCAAAAACATGTATAGTTTTGTAATTGAAGCATTGACTCTTGTATATACATATTTTGAGCCAAAATAAATAAACTAACTCAAATAATCAAGTAGTCAAATAAACATGTAAAAATAAAAATTATTGTTACAAAGAACATCTTGGTAAACTACATGTGTAAAAGAATAAAATTAAAAAAGAGAAGTGACAATCTAATTTTGTAGCAACTAGAAATTCTAAATAATTTTTTAAATATTTCAAGTAAATAACTAGTTATATAATATAAAAGATAATAATCAATATTTACATTCGATATAAGATAAGCTATATTAATATTTACTAAAAACTAAAAAAGAATTTATTGTGTTTTTATTTTTAATTTAAATTTAATAGTAGTTTTGGATTTTAGCCAAAGACGACCAACTAACTAAATTTGTAATACATATATGTTTTAATTATTAAACTTGTAATCTTTAATGATTGATCTGGTAATCAAACTTATTGCTCCGTTTCTTGAAATGCAAAGGTCTAAAAATAAAATAACGTCGCTAAAGTGTCGTTGTTTCATTAGGACGAACCCTTTTCAGTTAGAAGGTCATCAATTATGCTATGACCCTTTACCTTACAGGAAAGCAACATATTTTATTTTACTTATATTGCTTCCAATTTCAACAACCACAGAATATTTAATAAAAATTTTGCAAACTGCCACGTCATATCACGAGAACCTCGTAACCAACCTATCAGCAGCCGCCAGGTCAAAACACTGCGCCCCAACCGCGCCATCACCCAGTGGTCATCTTCCGTCATCCTCCAGCAGCGGCCCGTGCACTTCGCTGTCGTTTCTATTTCTATATTCTCTTGGCTTGGTTTTAGCTAATTCAATTTTCTCGTGGTCTCAATTTGTTGATGATTGCATTATTTTTTCAATCGCATATTGTTAATTGTATGCCCATTATTAGCCTCGTGTATGTGTTTTCTTTTCAATATATATACATATATGATCGAAAGTAGGCCATTAATATCATTTATTTTAAATTTGGTATAACTAGAAAAATTTAAAAACTCTTAATTTGATTTTTAAAATTTAAATTTTAAATTAATTTATGTGAAAGTTATCTCCAAATTGGCTCTAAGGAATTTTTTTTTTTTTTTTCTTTGTTAGGGGCGGATGGCAGATTATTTATTCCTTAGTTTTTCTTTCTTAAAAAAAACGTAACAAACTAAATGTTCTTTACAGTGGCAAACAATGCGCCATTCACTAGGTCATAGCCTAGAGTTTGATCACCACTTTGGTTCCTAAAAAAGATGAAGGTATGGGTTTTTTGGGTTCAAGATTTTATTTTTCAATTTATTTTCATTTAAAAATATCTTAAACATCTATCCAACTACCTAATAACCTTAAAATTAAAAAAAAAAAGAAAAAAAAGACAAAATTAACTGAATGAAAAATATCTAAACCAAATCCGATCTCCTTCCTTGAGGATATTTAAAGAAAATAACCTGTATCATTAAACCTTTTTTTTTCTAATGGAATTAGTTAAAAATTAAAATGATGAGTTTTTTAATTGAAAAATGACTCAACTAATGATTTTTTTTTTATCATCTTTCTTTCTTTTTTTTTTGAAAAAAACTTCTTTTTCTTTTTCAAAGCTTAGGATTGAAAAATAAATGAAATGAACATTCTTCTCCTTTTTCTTTCACTGAAAAGTGACTCAACTAATGAATGAAAAATAAGAATTGTCATGAATTTGGTGTGAAGCATGAAACTTCATCCGGTTTTACTTTCCCGTCTCTTTTTTTATTTAATTTTGTATTTTTATGGTAAATTGAAACCTAATTAGTTGACTTAGTATTCATATGGACAACAGTGAAATCAACCCCCAATATCATTTAGCTGTTTTGTTAATTACATGACCAGAGCTGCTCATCTTCGTATCCGACCACTCGATTAACAAAAAGAAGAAAGAAGTCGGATCCATAGCTACCCTTTCAAGACACAAAATGGTTCATAGGACGGAGTTGATAGGCTTGGCTAGCTTCAATCCATGTTTTGTCCAATTTAATGTCATGGGATATGCAAATGATTAAACCAGTGGATGCCATAAAAAGAAGAAAAGAAGAAGAAGAAGAGTAGTGGAGGTTAATTAGAGGGCCTCCCACCTGTGCTCTGCTTCGTTTGTAATTCAACTACTAGTCCCTTATCTTTTGTGCTAGTTATGATTAAAGTTCTCTTGAAAGCTAAGAATTCAGTCACGTGCCACGTGAAACATAACCAAAAACAGTGGAAACCCAACTAGCCCCACGGGAGCTTCTTACCGAGCAAATTCTCTGGCACATACCCTGCAAATATAATTTTCTTACATGGAAGATCTTCTTGCACCTCCTTCCTTAAGAGGCCTCTTATTTGTTCAAATTCTGAGCCATTTCCGACTCGTTTTCCGATTCCCAAATTCCTCCTGGTAAGTTGAGTTCATATATATGCTGTTTGAGAGCTTCAAGGGATACTTCAGTTGCAAGCCTAATCAAGTAAAATCTTATCCTATGATTGAGCTCATACATGTAGCTTGTGTTTCAAGCATATCGAAAGCACTGATTGAATTAGCAAGCCAAGCTGCTATTGAATTTAAACCTAGACAAGTGCTGGTTAAATTAGACACTCCAAGCTCCTTTTGGCAGACTAAAGTGGGAGTTGGAGATAACAAAGACAGACCCCAAAAAAATCCAAATATACCATTGTCAAAAACAATGTCCGAACCAACTCCACATCTGCAAATTCTCTATTTTGCTTAAATTTTAGTTGACCTATCTATTCAATCCTAAGTCCTATAACAACCCTCTTCTATCTAACCCATCTCAACGTAAAGAAGAAAGGAGAGAGAGAGGGTGAGACTTGCTATAGAAATAAATAAGGAGGAGGAAACATCAATATTCTTGCCTTGCACACCTCTAGCCTATTGGTGAGTCACTCATTTCATGCCCATTTCCCCCCCATCAATGGATCAAGATGATATTCCAATGGAGGAAACAGGCAGCAAGATTTTGCGAAAATCAATCTTTACTTTCCTCCAAAACTATCAATACTTCACCTCTACCGCAGCCCTTCTCGCCTTCCCCTTCTCGGCCTCAATCCTCCTCGCACACCTGCTTCTTGACTCCTCCTCATCTCTCCTTCCGGTCATATACCACAGGTTGACCAGTCTGTTCCAGGCGGCAGGATTCCCTTCCTCCTCGGAGTTGCTCAACCTCGTCAATCTCAAGCTCTCTCAAACAATCACCCTTTCAATTCTTACGCTTCCCTTTGCCCTTACTTTCCTGCTCATAATGAAAGCATCTGTTATTCAAGCTCTCAATAATAATCACAAAAAACCACCTTCTTTCTATTGTGTTTTTTCCATTTTCAATCCTCTCCTCCTTACCTACATATGCAATTCATTATTGATCCTCTCAGCGAATGCAACAGCTTTTTCTCTCTTATTCTTTACTTCTAATCTTTTCCTTGAGAATATTGGGTTTGGCTTTCATCTCTTCCTCTCAGCTGCTGGAGCTGTTGTTTACTCCATCATCCTCTCCCACACAATCATAATATGCAACTTAGCGTTGGTCTTATCGGGCGTGGAAAGAATCGGAGGATACCTGGCCATTCTAAAAGCCTGCGTTATGATCAGGGGAAGGGCTTCAACGGCGTTATCACTTGCAATTGCAGTCAACATAGCCCTGGCAGGGGTTGAAGCATTGTTCCGATACCGGATTGTGAGAGCTTGTCGTCATATCCGTGAAGCACAAAGCAATTTGTCGATAATTTCGGAGGGGACGCTTATCATCTACTTGTATTCAATTCTTGTTGTTCTTGAAACCATTGTCAGTTGCATCTTCTTCAAAAGCTGCAAGGCAACCTACTCTTGCATTGATCAACAGGGTAAATACGCTTACAGGATCAATGAAATTGAAGAGGAATTAGAAAATGGTGGCTATATTATTAGCTTAAAGGTGTAGCAACAACTTTTCTCCTCTTGCCACAAGGGTAATCTATACACAAGAAAGATTCACAAGGATCGTTTCAGAGAAACCATACTTCAATTGAAGCCCACAAAGTACTGTAACACACGTTCAAGCTGTTAAATTCTTTCTCCTTTTTCTCGTTTACATTTTCTGGTTTAATTATTTACTTGTACATTGGAATTTCTGAAAAAGAGAACAAAAGACAAAAATGGCGTTGTAGATGTATCAATCACTGTTCATCAAGAAAATTGAAATTTCAGCTACTCTGTAGATCCCAACCTCCATTGTAAAGCAATTTTTTTCTTTTTTCTTTACGCCACTGATACACTCATGTGCTCTTATCATGTGTGATTAGTCAGTCTCAAAAATTATCTAATTTATGAAGTGAGCATTCCTTGATTATTTTAAAATATAGGTTAATTTAATTGAAGGAAACTATTAGTGAATATTTTAAAATAAATATTTAATATGTCTGAAAAGATTAGGCATTTGCGTGTAAAAATGTGAGTAGCTTTTACAAAGAGATATCATAGAATTATAAAATGAAAAGATTGTAATATACGGTCAAGTAGGAATTATGATTTTACCTCATCCATGAGTATCTAACATCACCTACCTCAGATTGGATTGGGTTTTTGCTTGATTTGACAGATATATTCAATCTCGTCAAGTGAAAACCTAACCCCCTCCATCACCGACCTAGTATTTTAATTATTTTGTTAATATAATTTATAAAATAGAATTTAATTACAAAGTAAAAGTTGTAGGAGGATTAAAATACATATAAAAATTGTTGTGATCAAGGGCATTGGATGATGAGCGTTGAGAGGGAAAATTATTTAAAAAATAAATAAATAAAGAAGAGTTGTCATTTATCATTAAGGAAAAACTAGAAAACTTAAATAACTTGTCTTTTAAAAAAAATCAAGAGTGAGGAGCTGTGGTATGTAAAATGCATCACACGTAAATCAAAATATATATATATATATATAGCATATGTATATTTATGCAACTGATAACGATAACTAACTAGGAATTAATATATATTTGTTAAAGAATAAGATAAAAAAATATTATTTTTAAAAATATTCAAATATTTTTATTTTTCTTCAAATAAAAAATTAAAACAACGAAGATATATTTACTCAAGGTGGTAGAAAACTCAGTAGAAGAGGGTTGTGGTCAAGAAGATACCTTGAACTATCAAATCCAGGTAAGCATGCAACATCAAAGAAAATATGTCAGAAACAATAATCAATAAATATATAAGCATATTTCTAATTTTTTTATGCTAGAGTTGGTTTTACATCCGAGTTATCACTCTATTAAAGCATAATAATATACCAAACCAGATGGATTCAGACACAAACACACTTATAATATCATCATAGGTCAACCATCTCGCAATGTTTTGTTATATATGCAACACGCAAAGCTACCAAGAAAAATGTTTTTTATTTATTTATTTTTGAATTTATATATTGAATATGGAATAAGATAAAATCAAACTAGTAAGTGAAATATGATTTCAAAGAGACCACAAAGCTAAGTAAGAACATGTTCACAACGGACAAGAATGGATTTTGAAAGTCCTTTTAAAACAAGGTAGGATTGGCTTTGGAAATGAATTTAAGACAAGTGAGAAAATCGATTTTTAAAAATAAATCTATAATTAATGGGTTAAGATTTTATATAATAGCTAGGGTTAGTTTCATCGATGAAATACAAAAATACATGGAATTCACGTACAATAATATTATAATTAGTCAATCATCCATTATGTATTTTTATTTATTTATTTTATATTTATTGAATATAGAATAATATGAAATTAAATTGGTAAATGCAATATGATTTGAAGCGAACCACAAACTATTAATTAAGTCAAACTATGTTTAAAACGGATAAAAATGAATTTAAAAGTTACTTTAAAGCGGACTGGTTTTGAAAATGAATAAAAGAGAAAAGAGAAACTAATTCTTGAAAATAAATGAGTAAGTAATATATAATTAGCAATGAATTAAAGATTAATTATTTGAGAAGAAATTCAAACACAATGAGCGAGAAATAATCCACAATAGATATAAAAATATTTTTAAAAATATTTAAGTGGAATGAAATACGCATCAAATATTCAAAAGCAACGAGTGAGAGATTGTTCCAAGGGATTAAAAATTATTTAAAAAAGATATCCACATACATTAGTGGAATAAACAATAAATGCTTGAGCTTTCAGATTTTTGGGTTTCTCTCCTTCTTTTTTTAGATTCAAGTAAGTGTTTCAGCCAGTTTGCGCACACCACAACTAATTTCACAGGCTCTGAAGTTAACGATCATGCAAGTCTCTAGTGGCCATCATATGAGACTCGAACCTAAAACTACAAAGGGAACAAACCCCTTAATCTCAAGTCTTTATTATGTGACTACCACCTAGATGGTTGGTTTCTCTCCTTCTTTATTGTAGACGTCGTTGTTACCGGCGTCTTTGGTTGTTGCAGCTATCAAGAGGAGTTGCTACCGTCATGCGTGGTGGAGGAACAACCATTATGCGTGAGAGGAAGGTATTTGCTCACCGAAAAACATGGGAGAAAGGGGTTTTCGTGTTCTAGTGGCTATAACTCCGAGAGTCGGAGAAGGTGGCTCTAAACCTCATATAAAAAAATAAACAAACACTAGAAAAAAAAATCCATAACTTGTAAAAAAATTATAAGTGTATTTTTAGTATTTTTTTCTCTTACTTGAATTTATTTATTTTTATAAGACAATTCTCATTAAATAATTAATAAAATATTACTAATTATAGCTTCAGTATCATAAAATTTCTCATGGTTTGATCATTTTTTATATATATTTAAATTTATTTATGTGTGTGAGAAAGATGTATATCTAGACATAAATGTTTATGGATTCATGTTTGTCTTGAAAAGGGGTATTTTGATTAAATAATGTGGTTTATTCTTTTTTTTTCAATTTGGGATATGTTGGACTGGTTTTTGAGATATCTAAAATAGAATTTATTTTTATTTTTTGAATTTTTCTATTTCTCAATTCTTCTCTCCTTTTCTTTTCTCATTTTTTCTTGTTTTTTTTTCTTTTTTCCTAAATTGTTTCTCTCATATATTTTTTAATTTACACAATTTTTTCTTTTTTTTCCGTACTTGCTAAAAATATAAAAAAAATCTAAAAATCATGAAAAACTTCTCAAATGACTAATATTTTGGAAAATAATGATTTTTTATGAAAAATGGTTTTTTATGTGAATCTCTAGATTTTTATGAAAAACAAAATTGGGTTATAAATACATAAAATTACTTTTCTATATATAAAAGTTACAACATTATATTGGAAATCCTATAAAAATATATCTAAGTTATTTATTCAATACTATAAATAAGCATGTCAAACAAAATGGTAAATTAAATTATTATATAGGTTTGTGGTGAAGTTATATAGAAGATTTTATTCAAGTAATTGATTCCATCAATGGAATGAATATAAAAAAGAAATTAAAAGGGAATTTTTTAAGAATATAAAAAAGAACTCTTATCGAGTCCAGACGTAGATCTTTCATCCAATCCGACCCGTGATGATCCCTGTTGTATATGGAAGAAGTTGAGAGGAGAGGAGTGGAGACACGTGTAGTCGCCCAGGCCAATAGAACCCTAGAAGTGGATGGGAGGCAGCAAACTTTAACCTGCCAAGGAGTGTTCCTACGATCAGAGTTTCTTCAGTCAATTTCTGCCTTTTAAGAGTGACATCATCTACATTCCTCTCTCTCTCTCTCTCTCTCTCTCTCTATTAAAAAAACAAGAAGATGACATTTTCACATTTGTTTAAAACCAAATTATATTTTAATTTATTGAGTCAATTTTTATATAAATTAATTTTAAATTCTTGCTAGATAAAAAATAAGATAAAAAAGTTTGAAGGTTGATATTTTTGCTCTGATTTAATAACAATATAGATAATTTTGTTTTTTAAAAGAAAATTTTCATCTTTATTTTTTTTATTGAATTTTTTTGGCTTTTTTAATCAATTTAATTTATTTTGAATTAATCTTTATAATTTATTTTAATTTTTTCTATCATATTATAAAAATCTCAAACAAATATCCTGATATTTGGTTAGTATGATGCTAATTCTGTGAATATCTATTTTTTTTATCATATTATTAAATATAATGGTTAGTATGATGCTAATTCTATGAATATTTATTTTTGTTATCATATTATTAAATATAATTTAATTTAAAAAACAGTTGTTAAACTTATTGGAGCTTATGATTTATGTTATAAATTTAGTAGCTTAAATCACAAAACTTATATTGATCTAATTTGTTATCGTTTTAATATTAAAAAAAAACATATCATATTAATTTTTTTAAATTATATTATATTTTTTACCCATCATCAAAATTGTCTTTAAATGCACAAGGTTAATTTTAAATTAGAAAGAAGCAATGAGTTATGTTAGAAAAATTCAAGGTTGATAAGTCAAATTAAATTTAATAATAATATCAAATAATTTATTAAAATTTAAATAAATTTTTTAAATTAAAAAAACAATATCAAATAATTTTTTAAAATCTCAACATTTTTTAAAACAATATCAAATAATTTATTAAAGTATATACATTTTTCTAAATTAAAAAACAATATCAAATAATTTTTTAAAAAAATGATAGAATACAGACCGAAAAGCTAGCTAGTGGAGGATTTGTCGTCTTTGATCATATATATTTTTCATTTTTCGATTTGAATTGAAGCCCTCTAAGAATACAATGAGCATGAAATGTGAACGAAGACCAGGATACTTCATGAATGCCCATGTTTAATAATTAAATTATGAAACAACATTGAAAACTGTTCTGCAAGCTATAATTTTTTTTATGCTGTTATGTTACAATTACACCAAGAGCGAGCAACCCGTCCTCAGACAACTATATCTGAACCTGAAAACCTATACATCTTTTGCGACGTGCCAAGTCAAGATCTCTATTAGAAAAAAATTAAGAAGAGAAGGGGAAGGTTGCTCCCTATGTTACAAGAAACAAATTAAATTCTAGCGTTAGTGTTGGGTTAGAGCTTTGTACATGGTTTCATGGTACACTGTCACTTGGCGGCTTTTACATCCGCTCTGGTGCAGAAAAAATTATGCCAAACAAATGACGAAGCAGGAAACCGAATCAGCTACTGTATAATGAGGATTCACCAAAACTACAAAATTTCTTCTCAATGAGACGTCGAGGCCACATCCAGCATCTTTTATATCATGCATGGAACCACCGCTGGTCAGTGTTCTTAACCACCTGGCATGCTCTAGCAAAATGAACACATTCTTCACTGAATATAGCTTATGGTAGGTTCTGCAGGCCTCGTGGAATGGCGGGCTTGCCTTGCCAATATCACTTGTAAGGGTTGTATTCACACCGTACAGGCGAATATTGGAGCAGAGAATTGGGTTTTTGACACCAGTACTCAGCAGCACGCGCCACCGTTCAATCTGAAAAACTCTGGCAGATGGTTGTTGTAGCAGGGGACCTCAAATTGCCAAGCAAGAAAAGGAAGAAACCAATTCACAGCTATTTCATGTTCTTCTTTGTAAGATTTATTCCCTTCGCTCTCTCCATTTCAGCCTCTTTCTCAGCTTTCTTCTTCTCCAATTCAGCCTGTTTCAAATTTTCTTCATGCGCTTTACGAAACAATCTCACAAAATTTAAGAGAGTAGTGGTAACTGCATCAGTGAAGAAGTCATTTTAGATTCTCTCCATTGTTAATCCTTAACATATAGACTAGACTTGACTTGCATTTTAGTACTACAAAAGTTCGATTCCTCCGGAGTCCACAGCTTGTCCTTGTTTGTTTTTTTTTTTTTTTAATCCTTTTCCACCATTTCATATTTATATCACAATTCTAACTACTGAAGTATTTCTCAAGGAAACAATATAGTATTCATGAAAATTCAATTTGTATCATAGGCCTCGTTTAGTCTTCTCATGCTTGGGATAATTTTCTAGAAGTTTCCTCCTTTTCCCCCTCTGAATATTATTCCATGCCCCATTGTTTTTACCCAGTTCCATATCAACATAGCTGACCCAAGCCTCATCAAGTACAATCCCGCAGAACCTTTGTGTTATTTATAAACATCAAACCTATTTGAGATACTGAACTTAGTAAAGTCCACTAACAAAAAACATGTGGGTATACCACAGCGTATTACTACCAAATCCAGTGCTCTATAAAATTGTAACTTCACAGATCAATTATATAAGAAGAGTGTCCAATGCATAACTTGCCTTGCTCAAATGGGCATCGGGCTGGATCCTCACCGAAGTACAGTGCAAGTGCATCTGCATTTCTACCCTGTCCATCACAAGACAACAATTGATGACTGTGATAATAAAACCTATTTACTCTGGTAGATAATAGCAGATGCAAATGAATAGTCAGCAAATTACCACCACAGCATAGAAATTTGTCACGGATGCCACCTCCGTCTCAGCAACACCAATGAATTGTTTTAGTGTCTAAGAAGTCACATAAGAGAGTGTTAGTGCATAAAGAACATCTTAATATGCATAGGAAACAAAATGTGCATTACATTGATCCTCTACTAAACATATAAAATTGGAATTTGATAATGGCACATTCTCACTAGGATAAACTGCTAAGATACTATAAAGATTTTTTATGGTGAGGACCAACGTTGAGCCCAATCATGCTTGAATCTGATGATGTTACATCAACTACAGATGCCAGCTAATGCATCTACCCACTGATATTCATTAGTGATCAATGTCAATATCTTATCAAAGTTAAGGAAATAATTTTATATAAGATCTACCCCCGAAGGCAAAGAAATAGCAATGAATCATATCAGTACTTTTAACAAGCTCACTAAGCCAAGAACTCCTATTCTTACAAAGGAAAATGATGCAGTATCAATTGACCAAAGGGAAAAATGAAGGGAAAAAAAAGTTAAGCAACCAAATCCCCTAAATATAGCAAGCCATTTCAGATTCCTACAAAGTTAAAGCAATAAACGATGGAATAAAATAATAGTAATAGTAATAGAGGAAATTTCAGTAAGCAGTTTTAAAGAGGCAAGATGAAATAAAAACCATGAAAACAGTTTTTACACAGAATAGAAACAAAACAATGGGCTAACCTTTCGAAAAACTTCAGATACAAGACCATCATTTTCTGATGCAGCCAGCTCCTGCTTAACCTTCTCTAATCCCTTGATGATAGCCTGCATTTCTTCTGCTAAAGACTTCAATTGTATCTGCAAGAAACGACGACTCCATCTAAACATAATCTTACTACTGTAATTAAGTGTCGTTGACAATTAAAACAAGGCACGTACCTTAGATGCAGTTTCAAGGCTAACAAGGTCCAGGTGAAAATCTAGAAGCATTGGGGACTTAGCAGCAAGGACCTAGGAGACAAGAAAACAAAGTGTGAGTCTGAACATAAAATTGGCATTTGCCACTGGAGTTCATTTCTTTGATAAGAGGTAAAAAATAATATTGATTAGCAAACATTACAGAACCAGTAGATAAATGAACACAATCAGTAGAACAATGAACATAATCTAAAACAAAGCAAAGACAATATATAGTTTCCATTTTATACAACTTTGATTCAAATAAAAAATCTCAAGTGTGGAGATTCTAAAACGGAATATTTTATGACTATCTATTGTTTTTAAGGATTCGTCATTTCATGTTTTCATTAAATGAATCATTTTCTGAAAACAAAAGGAGAAGAAATTAAATATTATAAGTCTCACTGCAGATGACATTACAATTGCAACAAGGATAGAATCTTAGAGCAATTCAAGTTCAAAATTTTACATTTCTGAATCACATCCTTTTCAACTTAATGATATAAGTGCACCCAAATATGTTCTCCAATATTAATCTAATGCTAATGCCAAATTAACAGTCTCCAGATTACATATTCCCAAAAATCTCAAACTCAAAAAATCCAAACTTCACAAGTTTTTAAATGCACTTAGACTGCCAAAAAATAGAGTTCAGTTCCTTCTTAATTCATTATGGATCTGCTTAAGCACCCATTCCACAACCTGCATTGTGTACCTAAAAGACATGGTTTGGGAAAACTTATTGTTGCATTGTTCAATTCATTACAAAATGCAGGACTTAATATTGCTAATCAAATAGCTAGTTAAATAATCATCACATCCCAGGAAGCAACAGATCAATCACAAATAGGCTCCACAATCACCAAATTTAGAATAGAAAATCTAAAATTGACAGTAAACATGATTTTGATTCCATTAGGAAAGTTAACAAAAAAAAAAAAGAACATAATACTAATCATACCTTGCAAAGATAATGCATAAGTGTCATCTTGTTGTTGGAAGCGCGCGTATCAGTGAGTTTTAAGAGACTGTCCAACTTGAATCCAATTGCAGAACCTGTACAAATAGGAATGTATATGATATCTTATATCTATGGAAAAAATAAAAGCTCAAAACATTAAAAAGTGCTCATTGAGGTAGGAGACTATCAGCTGGTAAGATAATGGAAAATAAATAACAAACAAGTGAGAAAAACCAATATTGATCATATGAGTACCAGATAATATGGACACGCATGCTTGAATTCTACCAAAAGAAAACCAATATTTGATATCTTACATGTTCTATTCCTGTTTACCATGTTATTTATAGTAGTTTCTTTTCCAAAACGCATGAGCCTCGCTCCTAAAATGATCATTACTTGGCAGGAAAGTGTTCAGAGATCACTGGTTGGGGGCAAGGATAGGTAATAAGAGAATGGGGAAGAAGAGGAAAGGAGAATATATAAGAGAAGAATAGGGACAGGAAAGACAGATAATTAGAGTTAAGCGGAAACACTTTCATAGTTTAAGAACTAAAAACTTGAATCCTTGGAAAATTATGATAGATAAAATAAATACATAAATAAAAATGCCAAACACAAAATAGAATGGAACTAAATCAACTATTGGAAAGGAAATAAAATATAAAATCCCTAAGACAACTAGAAACATCATGTGTTTAAATTACAGCTCCATGATTCTCAGTCAGTTCCCTATCACATAAAACCTTCAAATTATACTTTGCTAGATTTATAATATCTCAAAAATATAAATCCTTGTCACTACAACAGACATCAAAAGATGGGAAGAGGAGCTGTTTCCTTTAAAGTTGAAGCTGCACGGAGTGTTGGTAAAGGCACTAGCTGAGTTTAAGCCATGAGTTGTGATATACTGAAAATAGAGCTCAAAGCTGAAGACAAATTGTACAGATAGTGGCAATTGGCACATCTTATTAATACTGTGATCTTGTTGCTCTAAGACAGCATATGGTTCTTCTGATTCTCTAAGTTGCAATAAAGGCTATGCCCCTCAAGAAGGTTTTAAACAAAGACAGTTAATTATGGAAAGAGCAAGCACACCATCACGGGCAATTAAGTTGTGCTTCTTCTTTAATTGTCTCATGAAAACATACAGATAATCATGTCAGGTGCCATTACGAAAGTTCCTTGTAAACCTTTATTGGGAATAAAACATTTATAATTCCCTTGGTTCAGTATTCCCCAGATAAAGATTTTCTCAAGAATTTCAACTAGAGAGAATTCCAGAACTCGATATGAATTTAGAACCTGAACTACTTACCCCGTGCAGTTCCTTGATTCAGTGTATTCCCCAGAATAAGAATTTTCTTCAAAATATCTTTCAATTTGAGGGAATTCCGGACCTATTAAGCAGAGATATTAATGCCCCTTGTGTAAAAAAGTGAATGTGTAAACTAAAAGAAGGCTTCATTATCATTTGCAGAGCATACCTCATCACATGCAGAATTTACAGTGTTTAAGCTCTTTTTAAACTCTGAAATCTGTGAAACAGGGCAAGATAAGAAAACTGTGGAGAAAACCATAGTTTAGGAGATTTGTATATTTATGAAAACCACACCAACAATGGACATCAGCCCAAACCTGAGAGCCAAATTGAATCTTGAAAGAAAATACCCTCAACTTGGACTCAACACGTGGCACTTTCATCAGCTCCAAGAAATACTGGAGGAACACATAATAAAGTTGAATAGTTCAAATTATCAAAATTTAAAAAAAAAAATGCATTCAAGTTATCCAGCATAACCAATAGGTAAAATCAGTTGTCATAAATAATGTGATCTACATGCATGCCAAAGATTCAAATGAATGGGCTTAGCATGATAAACTATCGTCAACATGCACTGTAATATCCTCAAAGATAAAAATTCATAATGACCTCAATTATAGCAATTGAAACTATCAAGACATGTGCAGTCAGCTTTCACCAATTCATACATCCACAAATTAATAATTGCCCTATTATAGCAATTGAAGCTATCAAGACATGCAGTCAACTATCACCAATTTCATGCATCCTAGTTCAGCTCTGCCAAGCACACAGACCATTTCTCAATTTGAGCATGATATTCTTGAGCAGGGCCAAGCTAATTTTTCATGCATGGTTCCAATAATATCAGATGTCTTCAAAGAGCCTTCCAGCTTTCCCCTTGTACTGCCCTAACTCTTATATAGCTTCTAAACAGCTTTTAAGTCTACCATCCAAGACCTGCCATAGGATCCTTTCTCTTTTGGGGCATAAATAACCATGTCCTTAATATGAAAGACAACAGTAACTAACATTTGGTCATCTAATTGAAAAATTGTGTTAAAGTTATTCATTCTACTTCCAAGTAGAGTTTAATGTTCTGCTGCTCATGAAGAGATTTCCATAATATAGCATTCTTTTTTAGAGTGATGGAGAAAAGTTACTGCTTATATTCCATATATCAATAACAACCACGACATTATCAGACTTCCACCAATATCACTCTAGAACAGAATACTTGAAGTCTCCAAAGGAACAGGGCAATTTAGACTTAGGATTTCCACTTGGAGATTTTGGTTTCCATGGGTGAAGGGGTGATAAGAGTTGCACACCATTGTGCAGGACAAGACCCGTTGAAGCGTCCCAACAAAACAATAAAATAATTTAAAATTAAACACGTAACAAAAACAGAATTTGGAGATATCCATCAGAAAGTGGGGCTTGCCTATCACGTTCATCACTTCTCATGCAGTTCATGATACTTCATGCAGACATGTTCAAACTACTTGTACCCTGCTTTGGTATAATAACCTTCTTTTAAAAACAAAACCAAAACCAAAACAAGAGCAAAGTAAAGGAAAAGGGCAACCAGGAAAGAAAGAGCAAAATGACTAGAAAGGCACTGATATTCTTAGCCTACATTTTTTTATTAGATAAAAGAAAATCTATTAGAAATATTGGGTATTTCTTTCTACCCCTAGACAACCAAACTTTGTTGATGAATCTCCCATAACTTGTCGCAAAACAGTTTCTATTCTTTTCCTCTTTTTTCTCTTATATAGGAGAAGAAATTTCTCAATGCTTTCTTATCATATAGTATTAGAGATTCAGATTATTTTAACTTCAAAACTTCTAGTAATCTTTAAGAACAAAATCCAATTCTCTCACAGTGCTTACAATCACCACAGTACTTTCCACATGCCATTTTTACAGGGCCAAACCAAATTTCTCGTACCACGAGTTAGTGTCTTCTTATGCAGCACTTTCCAATTAAAAAATTGATAGTTTTGAGTTCATAATTTCAAATGGAAATTATCGGGGTATCATAAGTTTTTCTTCATATGCAGCACTTTTCAATTAAAAAATTGATAGTTTGGAGTTCATAATTTCAAATGGAAATTGTAAGGGTATCATATACCAGTGATACTATATGCTAACTTTTAGGGTTAAATGGATCAGCAAACCTATCTACTTTATTGTCAAAATGAAAATTAAAATGGGCAAGCACAATTATACGTTAACTAGCCATAATTCATCATTTCAGATAATGAAAGAGATGCTATAAAGATTTTAAGAAGTCACATAAGCCAGGCTACAGGTATGGAGTCACACGCCAATCCTCTAGAGTTCAACTAAGCCATGTGTGACACCCTGACAAAGTACTCAAGAATGCATTCCAGTAAAAGATGAGGAATTTCTGGTTGATAAGTAAATTTTGCAGACCTGTTCACACTTTCCCAGTTTCTCCTTGTCACCAGTGTAGCCCTGTTATTTTACAATTAATCATGGTTAAATGTCTTATATTGACATTGAGTTTCAAGGGCCACAGAATGTCAAAGTACTCTTGAATATGAAATGGAATGTAAATGAGATCATAATTATTTGAAGTTTCACCTTGAGAAGTTCCATCTCCTCTTTAGTGGGACAGAACTTTATAAGATTTTCCACTTGATCAACATCTAATATTGAGTCATCCATTGCTAGTACTGCAGCCTAAAAATATGCAGGTAGGTGTCATATTAGTTAATGAATAACAAAAATAACCTAAATTTCACAAAAAGAAAGAAAAAAAAAATGCCGCAGCTCCACTTGCACCAAAGGTGGTAGATTCCAGAATAAACAAGTTTTCTGTATCAATGCATAAAAGCATGATAAGCATGTTGTCTTTGCTTAAATCAACCACTAAGCTGAATCTTTTAAGAGGGAAACCTGCTATAACTGGGACAAAATTGCATGCATGCACAGAAGTAACATATAACCTGTCATGGATGAAAATGATACCTTGGGAAAGTAAATTCCACCACAAGGTTAAAATGATATTAAGAACCCTAAATAATACACTTTCTATTCACAAAATCCTGCCCCAAGATTACCAGCTCTGCTCATCTACCAGTCACAGCTGTCTGCAAAAGCCCTAAAGCAACGCAAGCTAATATTGGTTCCATTTCCACATCAAAAAACGAAACTTTAAATACAATAGTACAGGGAAATCCAAGTTTCAGGAGAGTATCCTCCAAGGTCAACAAACAGTGGTGAAGGCTGGCCAAATGAGGGAAATCAAAGTCACAGGAGAATGCGCTCCTAGGTCAACAGACAGGATAGCTTCTGAACATTACATTACACCCAACCTTTTACACTTCAAAAAACATGCATTTCTATAAATGGTTCAAGACTAGCACAAATTGCTTCAAAAGTAGAAGTCAACTCTCTTTTAAATATACACAACAAAAATATCAACACAAACCACATGATGCTATCCCATTTAAACTTGCGAATCTCAAGCATTGCCTATCTAGTCTAAGTGCACAATATCACATCTTCATACACTAATCAAGAAAAATAGTTTTGATAAATAAAACCAATATTCTTATCACTGCAAGCACTTCCAAGATGTCTGATCTTACCATCATGTCAGAAAGTGGCATCTTAACTTTTGTAAGCATGATTTCAGTGTTATTTGCCCTCCGCAGATCAATCTACAGTTGACAACAAGATGCTTCATTTGAGAGACATTAAGTTGTAAGAAAACGATAGAGATTCTATCATAATAATATTTTCTTCAACAAGAAACAGCAAAAATTGCAATCAAATTGATATATATTCAGAAACATACACAAAAACACACGTGGCAATAACACAGAAATAAATAACTACTAGAATTTGAACACAGATAAATGAAATCACTAATGCATGATGAGACTGCACGAGGGGCATATATTTCTTTAATGGTGTTTCTTTTTTATTACATGCATCACACCTGCTTAGCATCCAACTCAACTGAACCTTAATATCAAATTCCTTAGAGTCAAATACGTTTCCTTCATCCCATTATATGTAGAGCGAGTTTGACTTTTCCATGAAAAATTGAAAATTACATCCTTACAATTTCAATCCATGTCAACTTCAGCACGGTTTGACCCTTAACAGTATACAGCCTAGTATTTAAGACATGTTACTCTATCTGCACTTAAAAGGTATAACATTGATAAATAACTTATCCGGGGGAGATATTGTAAGCTCAGCTATCAACCAACTATTATGCAATGGCCCATAAAATGAAGATTTTAGCTATATCACACAGGGATTTCTCCATATATCACAAAACAAAGGCCACTGACATTGGTTATTCAGCTATTCACCTGAAATCCAAATAATAATTACAGTTGCTACCAACATCAAATGTTTAGACTTGCATTTTCAAGCTTAATGTTTGTATGGTCAATGCATGGCCGTGCTTGGTTGTAGGAAATCCTAGGACTGGTATTTGTAGGTAGTTGGGTAGCGCTCCCAGTGCAGTTGATCAAGGATAACAAATTGACGTAAACTCTAGTAAATAACTGATAAGAAATAAAACTGGAAGGTAGTCTTGTTTTTATCCCAAGTGTAAAAATTTCATAAATACATACCATGCAACATATTCATTGTCCGTATAAAGAATGTCTGAATAACTGATGCAAATACTATCAAAGAAACTTTTCTCACCAAATTATCACAGAAACTACAAAAATAAACACCAGTTCTAGAATCATTCATCACAATATCTTCCCTAGAAAACGAAGGCTTATGGGCTCATGAGAAAAGCGGAGCAATTCCTACCCCAATCAAATTAACTAAAGCCTTGTGGAGAAAGAAAATGCAACTTATGATATTATGATTGGAAAAAGAAGAAATACCATTGAAAATAAATTAAGAAGTGATAGAAAGATAAAATATAACCCCAGCAACAAGAATAAAATATCCATCACACACATCTGAGGTTTTTTTACAGACAAATTTCAAGGCAGGGAAATGAATTTTAGATTACCAGGTTAACTTTGTCAGTTTTTGATCCAACAGACTTGCGTCTTCCTCCAGCTTTACCCAAATCAGCAGGTTTGGGGACTGTTGCAGAGAAAAGGCTTTCTAGCTCTGATACATCGAATTCTGGTGCACTATGGCACAAGGATGCAACACCATATTAAAAAAACAGAGAAAATGATGCATAACCGTAAATAGTGAGGCATGTATAGATTCAGGAAAGCATGGATGAATAGCGTGTTAGTAATTCTAAAAGAAAATTCAATTGGTAAAAGACGTTGCAGTACATTTGGGGCTCTCCATGCCTTTGCAGCTCTTCCCATAAGCTTCCTTGTATTGCTCTTGTTACCTTGCTCCAATGCAAAGGCTTTAAGGAAGATCTTCTGGGTGCTGTAGCGGATGTCCCCATCCCTGAAAGACGTGAAAGGCCACGCCCTCTTCCTAAAGGTAAACCTCTGGCACTGCCTGGAGGTGGAGGAGGTGCACTGCCTGGAGGTCCTGGTGGTGCTGGAGGGCCAGGAACACGAGCACCTGGTGGAGCTGGAGGAGGCGGGCCAGCTCCACGACCCATAGGAGGCGGGGCTCCACGACCCATAGGAGGGGGCGGGGGAGGCGGACCTCCACGACCCATAGGGGGAGGCGGAGCTCCACGACCCATAGGAGGAGGCGGGGCTCCACGCCCTGGAGGTGGCGGGGGAGGTGGGGGTCTCCCCGGAGGAGGTGGTGGTGGAGGAGGAGCTCCACGCCCTGGAGGAGGAGGAGGTGGTGGAGGAACTGCAAATCCTGGATGAGCAGCAACTCCACGCCCTGGAGGAGGAGGCGGTGGTGGAGGAGCTCTATGCCCTGAAGGTGGTGGTGGAGGAGGAGGAGCTACACGTCCTGGAGGAGGAGGAGGGGGAGGTGGTGGTGGTGGTGGTGGAGCTACATATCTTGGAGGATGTGGTCGTGACGGAGGAGCCTGACTCGGGTGGGGGTGGATTGGGAACTCCAACTCTGCTATGATATGAAGTAGTAGAAGCACTCAGAGGGGGAGGAGGTGGTGAAGAATAAGTTGGAGCAAGAGCAGCTGGAGTATACTTAGAATTCCAAGGGGGTGGGGGGGGTGGGGGAGGCAAAACCTTCCCGATATTCTGTCCACTGGACAGAGGGGGAAAGGGAGGGGGTGGTGGTGGAGATGCATGCTGTGGAACTATCTGACTATTCTGCCTGCTAAATGATGAGGGTGGTGGTGGTGGTGGTGGTGGTGGTGGAGGAGGAGGAGGAGGAGGAGCTGCTGGTGCTGGGGGAGGTGCTTCACCTACTGGACTGGCCTGAAAATCATACAATGAAGATTTGCTGAAATAAGGCGGAGGAGGAGGAGGTGGCGGAGGCGGAGGGCGCACAACTTGTTGCCAGTCAAGAGAAGGATGTGATTCAGTTGTAGTAGGAAAGCCACTTGAAATTAAATCTCCAGGGGCAGCGGCAACAGAAGTCGTCTTTACATGGCCACCGGCACTAGAGTCCTTTGGTGAAGCACAAAATCCAAGAGCTGGTGGTGCACTATTATATCTTGATGGTGGATATGCTACATGCATTGAATTGGTAAAAGGGCCTTTATTAGGGGGAACCCACCGAGGAACAGTATTTGGCTTGCTTTGTTTTCCATTAGTTCCCTGGGGTTCATGTTGTTTAGTCTTTTGTTTGGTTACAATTGAATCTGCAGCCGGTTTTGCATTTGATGTGGGATGTCTCCTAGGTGAAGGTAACACTAATTTCTCTTGTCTGCCAACATCAGCACTCAACTTTACTGGTGGAATGATGGATTCTAACTTCTTTGTAGCAGTATTTTCTCCATCACCTTGATCTTCCATCTTTTCAAGTTCCCCATCCACATCTTCAATCACTTCTGTTGTTTCTTTACTCAGTGTATCAGTAGCAACAACCACATAATCTGCCTTGAGATCCCCATCATCCACAGCAATGTCTTTCACTGCCAAAAAATCAGAATCCACCTTCTCGTCTACCTTGTACTTGACATCATCCACAGCAATATCCTTCACTGCATCAACACTAGAATCTAGCTTCCCCTCCTGTTTACGATTCCCGTCATCAGAAGCACAGTCTTCAAATGAGTGAAGATCCGAATCCTCCTTCCAGACTTCTTTGCTGTCTACATTAACTGGCATGTTGTCATGAACTATATGAGAAGCCTCATCCACCTTTGCTTCATGCCCATCCACTACATTGCTGAAAATTTCTTCCACCTCAAAAAATTCCTCAGGCGAAGCACTTTCTGTCTCATTCCCATCTTCATTCGTCATGACTGTGGTGACATTAGGCACAACAGCATCAGCATCCGCAAAAAGTACCTGATACAGATATGAGTATGCATTCAACTCCTACAGCTTCAGAAAATAGGGCCAACAAAAGAATTAGGATAAGCTACCTCTGCTCTGAAGTCCTTTGGAAATTGATCCTTGGCATCCCAGAGAGTGTCAATCTCATCACGAATGAGCATCAAAATATTGGCCCGCACAAATGCTGTGTGGAACATCACTCTGAACATCATCTCCTCACGTACCAAATCTTCATCCAAATGGATGCACTCAAGAACAACATCCCCTTGAATACGGCACCTTATATCTATTTTCACTAGCGCGCACTCTTCCTGCAATTGATGAAATTCATAAGAAACACCTTAAAGTGGAGGCGTTTCATGTACCATTTTCAATTACATGACTAAGGGCATTACCTGCTGGTACAGGCGAACATGTTTTTTAGTCTTTGACATAGAAAACAGCAGCTTGGAAGTTCTATTGGCTGGTTTTGAAGGATCCTGGCCATAAACACGAACAACTGGCCGGCAACCTTTGCCCCCCTCAAATAATGGAAGGGCTCTAAGCATCAGACAATCCAACAGCAAAGGAGTATCTGATGGAGGCCAATCTGAACCAAAATTTCTTCTAGAAATGTACTGAAGATATCTAAGCTGGGAAGGCTGTGGATTTAAAGGAGACAAAAGATGAAGAAGCTCCCTAGGAGCTTGCTTGTAGACCATTTCAAGAGTCTTGTTCTCCCCAGTATACTGTTTCCGATATAACAAAAGACCTGCAAGCATGAAAGCAAGTACAGGCCAACCTCCTCTTTCACAATGCATTAACAGAACATTTTGTTGCCCTTCCAAGGACAGCCAGCTTTCGCTTGATCTAAGGAAGTGGTGGATCATCTCCAGTGGCAGCATAGGACAGCCCTCATACTGACGAGGGTAATCCATAACTGTCATGTCATACTGAGACAATATGTCTGAAATTTGGCTCCGCCTCTCTCCTTCTCTAAAGTTAAACACCATGAAGGACGCATCAGGAAAGTGGTCTTGTAGCTGCGCTACAATGCCACCCAAGTACACCTTGAACTCATCTTCTTCCAACACATCCGTGGAGAAGCAACAATCAAACACTGCAAAACAACGAAAATGATAAAACGAATTAGCTCCATCAAACTCCTCAACATTTCAGCCACTTAACAAGTCTGTCTAAGCTCTCAAAACCTAGGAAATACTAACAAAATCAATTGCAGCAAAATTCTTTAAGCATTGCTCAATTGCAGATTCTTAGTGCATTGCCAAGATTAAATACCGGAGTTCGAATAATTCACAACTAAATTATAAGAAACCTAATCATCAGGTTTGAATTGTTCAAAACTAGCAAGCAATTAAGCAGAAATTTGAAGATGCATTCAATAGCGAAATTAAGAAGGAAAAAAAAAGTACCGTAAACTCTCTCGGAGATCTCAAGAAGCCGATCCGGCGGCTTCCGGTAGAAGAAGCGTCTGAACAGCGCCATCTGATGGCGCTGTTTCTCCGGCGATCGGATCCAAACCGTTGATTTACAATAGCTCCGGAAAGATCAGAATTGAGCAACACAAAATCATAGCAGATCCCGATATTCTCCAACACAATTAATTACACACGTATATAAAATAAAAATTGATCAAAAAATACAAAATGGACAACGTTTCCGAAGAGACAGTCGGTTACGTAATTGGATCAAATCAACCACAATAAGCATAACATTTCACAATTCAGCTCTCTATAATAATATTATTCAATTTAGCTCTATATAATAATATTATTATTAATTATAATTATAATAATCAACAGAGGAAAGTGTCTTGTGTGTGTGGCAAGTGACAGTCGAGAAAAGAGATCAAGGTGAAAATGTGGAGATAAGGTCTTTGGAAGAGGAATTATTTTGGATTCAAATGTTGATCGGTGTTGTATTTTTTATTATTATTAACTATTATTGTTTTTTTTTTCTTTTCGTTTGGAAAATCACACGGAGAGAAAAGGAGAGAGAAGCGTAGTGGACTGTTAAGGAGAATAGTTTCGATTCAAAGACCCCTCTCTCATTTGATAAATTGACCAATTAGGACGCAAAATACAAATAAAATGTAAATTAACATGGGAGAACAAAGATACATTAAAATAGCATAATTTAAAGATATCATGGTTCTAAATTGTAAAATTTTATTAATATTATAGTTCTAATCATAATATTTTATTATATAATAAATAAAAATCACAATAAAATTATAATTGATATTACAATTCAGAACGATAACATTTTATAAATATTATAATTTAAAAATACAACATTCAACTAAGTCTTGCAATTATAAACTGCATTATCAATATAATTAATATTTATTTAAAGAGATTAATTTAAGAAAAATATTAAACTATTTCTTAAAACAGCTAAACTATTTTAGTTACTATCTAGTTATGGGAATTTTTTATGTTTTCCGTCTAAAAAAATTCATAAAATTATATTTTTTTAATCTAAAATTTAATTTACTTTATAATTTTAGAAAGTTATAAATATTATAATTTTAACAAAATTTATCTTTAGTTTCCCCTATAAAGAAATTATACTTAAAATTTTATCTCATTTAAAAAAAAACTACAAAAAACCACAATAATTCCAATTAAAAAATTATAACTAAACTTAACAATTTCTCATATTTTATAATCACAAGTAGCTCTAGAAATGTCAAGAAAAAAACATATATACATGCAAAATAAATAAAAAATAATTCAATAATACAATATTCAAATAATTAAAATCTCAAAATATATAAACATAACATATTTATCTATCTAAGTTTATTGATGATCCAGACTTGTCAGTTGCACGACTAAATCTAACTCTTGCAAATGCTTGAATAGTCTCGTAATTTGCCATAACATCATCAAAAATTAACCTCTTTCTAAAGGTTTCTTATCTAATGTAGCAAACATATAACCAACAGGATGCAATAGTGCAAACTTTTGTTTCTTTATCAGTATTATAAAGATAAGATGTCGCCTCTCAACATTTCAGTAGCATGAAACCATCCTAATAGTAATAAAATACTAATGTTAAATTAAAAGATCAATACATAATACTCAACATTTAACATATATTAATTAAAAAAAATTGATTACTTATAATATTTTGAATCTATTAGGCATGTTACTCATACTATATGTATCTAGGTGGAGAAACCTACTCAGGATCCGGAATAATGACCCATATGTAATACTCATATACTAGATCATATACTCTTTATTTGTAATCAAATGATGCATCTCTGTAAATATCTCATTTATTTATTCATCCTACTGTCATACATAAATTCTATATAGGGTTGACTTGTCGTAATCATTACTTTTACCCCCAACAAGTCATGGTGTATAATACATCACTTGTATTGATGTTGATTGGATTATGTTATTTGTAGCTGAAATGTCACATTATCTAATTTGAGCACTATCACTCGGCCATCTAAAAAAAAATCAGTTGGACCATTGATATTCATGTGCCTATCCTATTAGTGCAAACAACCGAAGCAGCTGTCAATCTTTCATCAAAATAAAGCATCCATATGATTTGTAGAATATAATTTTTTTAAATTTTAAAAAACAATAATTCAATGCAATGTAATGATTTTTATTAAACAAATGATTCAAAAAATACTCAAATAGCATGTTATCTATTTAGCTTGCTTCGATAAAATGTCATTATAAAGACATAACATAATTATATTATAAGATATTTTATAATAATAATAATAATAATAATAATTAAAAAAACCCACATCATATCGTAATTAATTTAACTTAATTGTAACTAAATTACATTATCAGACAAAATTTAAATTAAATACAATCAAAATCCTAAAATTTAACATTAAATCAAATTCACCATAAATTAAATATAATTCATGATACAAAATCTAATTAATATTTCATGCTTAATTGCATTAAATCAAACTCAAACTAATATAATTAGAAGAAAATATCAAATTCATCAATTTATCAACAATTCAATAAAACATATAAATATTTTACCTCATTCAAGCTCTCATTTAAGAAATCTTCAAGCATAATTAATTACATTATTAGTTGATTCCAACAATACACATAAAATCTATAATTTGACAACTTAACATCAATTAAATGCAACACACAATTAATTTAATTTATTTTCATATTTAATTATATCAAATCTACCCTAATTGATGATATTTTTATTTTTCACATTAATTAAACAAACCATAAATTCACTATAAATCCTAAATTCAACCTAACACTATTATTTTATTTCATCCAAACAAAATGCAATTTATATCAATTTAATATATTTTTCAAGAAGGATTAATTTGACACACAAAAACATCCAATGATACTTAGAGTCTAGAATAAGTTTGTTTATCATTGTTTTAAGGGTAAAGTGAAGGTTTTTGGTGGACTTTTTTATAGAGATAATGAGGGTAATGACAATGTTGGTTGAGGGGGGAAGGTTGTGTCTATAGTTAATGGCGGAGGCAGGGGGCTGGCAGGGTCCCGACCCCTGCAGGAAATTTTTTTCCCAGCCCTCTCCCCTATAAATATTGTAAAAATAATTAAAAATTTAACTTTGTTCTTCTTAATTTTTAATTTGCCCTTTTTAGTTTTTTTTTCTAGTTCCGCCCCTGTCTATAGTTATTCTTTTTGTTCTTCGATTTGAGTTTAAATTTTAATTTTAAATTGTTATATTTTTAAAATATGATATTAGTTTTTTGCTTTTCTAAATCACATTATTTATCTAATTGTACTTTTAATAGCAACATTTACATTATTGCATTTTTTAATAATAATATTTACTGAATGTTATGCTTTCAAAACATTACAATGTTAAAATGTTTTTTCAAACATGTTATTATGTAAAAACTTTAAATTTACTGTAATATTTATTCTAAAAAAAAAAACCTCCCCCCTTCTGGCTTTCGCTTTGCCAAAGCAATAATTTTCCTGCCTTCCATCCATAGATCATTGATTATGTGGTTTGACACGTGGAAATATTACTCGCATATTATAAAGACACGACACGACACGACACGCACATGCGAGATAAGAGGGAAAGCTTGGTCCCGTTTGCATATGGAAGGACATGTAGGCATGCGAATTGGGCATGTTCTTTTTAACGTCCTCTTCGCTTTTCTTTTATCTTCATAGGAGTTAATTATAGATTAGTCCTTTTAGTTTTATCAAACAGATTAAATAGTCTTTCTAGTTTTAAAAGCTAATCAATTAATTTCTTCACACGTGTTAATTACGTAAATTGGAAAATAATTAGTGGCATTCTATTATTTATTTTCTAATACCATTTTTTAAAAATATATAAATCCATGTATGAGAAAAAAATCATAAATGAAAATATTCTTATTACTTTGATAGGTCATAGATTTTATTTTCTCTCACCTAATTGTATTATATTATTTTTTTAAAAAAATATATCATAAAAAATAACTAATAAAATATCACTAGTTACTCCATATATACCATAAAAATCTCATTAATCATACTTAATTTAAAATAAATAAATACAAGTATAAGAAAAAAAAATCATATATAAAATATTTTTATTATTTTTTATGAGTTATATTTTATTTTCTCTCATCTAATTGTATTATCTATATTTTTCTTCAAAGTGAGTTCCAAGGTGCTATTTTTTTCAAAATAAATTTTAAAAAATAACTATAAAATATCACTAATAACTTTATTTTTATCAGTATCATAAAACTTTCTCATTAATCATGCTTAATTTAAAATATCTTCTTTTCTAATCGAACTTTTCATATTATTTATTTTTATTTTATTTTTAAAACAGAAAAAACAAAATAAATTGGAAAACAATATGAAATAATAGTTAGTTTTTAAAACCAGAAAGGCTATTTAATTCCTTTCTTAAAACTAAAAGGATAATATTGTTCTTTTAACATAAGAGAGAGAATTGTAAAAGTTAAAAAAAAAAGAATTCCCTAACCAGAGAGGGGCCGGGGAGACATTGAGGGAGAAATGATAACGTAACTCCAAACTGACAAAGGAATGTTCGGTGAATTTCATGATTTCAGTCTGGATGCTTATGGTTTCCATTAAGCAGCTTTTTTTTTAGGAATTAATTAACTATCTTATCTACCTTAGAACATTGCTTCCATTTCATCTGCAAACAAATGAGAGGTTAAACCTTGCCAAGGCGATTCGCACTCCCAGAAAGTAACATTACAGCTTGAACCAAAGCTATTTAAACGGCCAATATTGGAATAGTTTGTAAAACTAATGGAACAACGAATGAAAATAAACGGTCCACGAGGTATATTAATATTAAAACTAAACTAACCTTATTTATATATTAAAGCCTTAATGAGAGTGTCAAGATGATCGTTATCTGAATCTTTGCAATGATCAGTAAAAAAATAAGAAATTCTTGATATTTATTGATAAAACTAAAAAGAAATAAAGTTGCTTTTTAATACTTTGATCATCAGAACTCCTACATAGTTGTAAAATGTGGATAAGAGAATTGGTAGTGTATAAAAAAAATATATCACTCTTAGTAAATTATATTATTTATTTGATTAATATAAACTAAGATGCTATTTAATTTTCTAAGCATTGATTTATCGAATAGTTAAAGCAAATTCATTCTAGTAGAGTAGATTATAGTTTTAAGAGTCAAGTCTAATTATTTTAGAGTCATGTCACAAAAATAAAAGTAATTATTTTTTTATTAAATATCGAGGATACATTTTGCAAATCAGTTCATGATATATTAAAAAAGTATTTTTTTTATATGAAAGTAAGTTTTCATAACTTTAATAAACTAGTTATGAAATACAAATATGATTTATTTCAAAATAAAAAAATTATTTTTATGATTTTTTCATAGTATGCTTAAATTATATCAATATTATTTATTTTTGATAAACTTAGTCGAATCAAAATATTTAAATGTATTTCTAAAAAAAGGATTTTTTTTGTTGTTTTCTTAATAATTAAAAAAATTA